CTCAAACAAACACAAAGAGTCATCACGTGGCCCTCGCACATGATAACGGTCTTCTGACTGCAGATTGAAACCCACCGAAAATGTTTTCACCCCAAAGAGCATGGTTCTTGTACAAATCCACAACAGACTACGGTAGTCACCAACCTTCAGTTCAACGATATCGTAGCGTGCCGTCCATCTGTAGTATCCGTCATCGGAGACGCTTACGTTCAACTCCGTGATACGCATTGATATTACCGTTCCGAAGCGAAGGTACGGTATGCGATGATGGGCGGCGCGATTCTCGTAAGATAATACGGTGTCCAATGAAAGATGGAGCATGGCCTGGTCGTTGAGGATCTCTACCCGTGGTGAAGAGGTGACACGACTGTCAAGATGTCCTGAAATGGGCTCCTGTGATAGGTAGTATCATATCTTCATACTCAACAACCAACCTGAACCATCTGTGACTCGGTCGAGATCTGCGAACACGCCGAGGCAGTGGCCGTCATCGCAACGCGTTCGCAGAACTTCTTGGATTGCTGGGATTCTGTGCAAATGGAAAATGATGTTTCCGCTCTCGGTGAGGTCGTACAGCATTTCGTTGATGTAGTCCTCGGTAACGGAGACTGATGCCATCTCACTGACGAAAATCTGAAAAGAACAAGATTGAGCTAGAAGAACGACTGGAAAACCAAATAATATCTCTTACTTCTGGCTCAGCTATGCTGTTGGAGGAAGCGGATCGTTTCTCCCTTGAGATGGTTCGCTTGAAGGAAAGTTTTGCTCCACGTGAATCAAGACGAGTAGCGACTCGATCGTGTTCAATTACACATGGAGATAGTGGCCCATCCTGAATTTTTGCTCATAATGGCTTGCCATGGACCATATCGCTACTGTACTTACCGTTCGTGTTGTGATGTCTTCAATAGAGGCAAGGGATTTCACTATGTTGGCCACTTTCCCGACGTAGTGAATGAATGCTGGGCACACCTTCTCTTGAAAGCGATGCTGGATCCTTTCTCTGAAAAAGAACAAAAATATACCGGGTAAGTTGTAAGCCTGTGATGGTGATCTGGCTTAGAACGAATGAGCTCAGGGTTGTCAATATCTCCTTTTTTAGGAACTGCTGTCGCAAAAGGTCTTATGTGGTAATAATGTACAATCTCCTATATTGTTCACTACTATCTGGTTGAAGGAGAAAGACCTCGACTCTGCGAGTTCAAAATATGAAATTGTAATGGCATCGCCACCAAAATACCCCATGCACTCGGTTTATTCCTTGATTGGCAAGGGATTATATGTGGGTAGAAAATCTTTCCTCAAAATTATGGGCAGGCAACATATGTGGGTAGGAAAAATCCAGCAGATAGCTTTCAGTAGTGTAAAGGAGAGCGTCTAGCTCACGCTTCATCCATCGGAGGAGTGAGTGAGCGTTCAGAGAGCTCCTCTGAACAAAGAATTTTTCACAACTGTTCCTCAGTTTCGCAGGAAGGTTTAGGTATGGCGTCTTGTTTCTGCATTGGGATGGGATAAGCGCATCGAAAATCAAGACTAGGTCCTTCTCCATCCATTTGAGCAAAATATGAATCCGTATCTGAGAAGTTTTTCATTGGTTTGCGGGCCATTCCGATTGAAACATAAAGCGAAAAAAGCGAAAACCAACCTCAAAAGATTGACGATTTGCGATGGCATTGACGGGGTCAGCTGTACCAGTACCTCCTCGACTTTGGCGCTACATTTCTTCTCAGTTACCTGAATTTGGTGCTCATCAAGTTGATCTCTTCTACGTCCCATCGTTTCGTCATCTATGCACATATCAGCAGCTTTGTGATAAAAGTACTTTTGCTTTCGACTAGCCCTCATATCAGTGAGGAAGCGTTCAGAGAACGTTCAACCATGTTATCAGACTCCGTCAAAATTTGGCTATACGTTGAAGACTTACGGTGATGTGCTCATCCTCATCACTAAATTCAACGTCGAGTTGGATCCGAATATCGTCGAGAAGTGCTTCGAATTGACCTTCCCTTGTGGTTTTGTAGACAGTGGAATAGAGACCGAGATAACGCATTCCACCACCATGAGTGAAGAAACGGAACTTCGTCTCGCTGAGGCGCTAAAATTGAAGAATTCCTTTTGAGGGTATTTCCTATAATCCTATCAAACGAGTGAGTCTTTATGTGGAGGTAAAGCCAGACTGCTCTCAGAAATGAGAAGCGGAAATACAGCTGTCTGACGCATACTCCCTTCATTTTTGTCTTATTTTGGGTAAAATGATACCAGGGAATCGTTCATTTTTAGTGGCTACTAAAAAATTCAAAAACGTCAGAAAGGAACACACCTCGACTTCCAACTTCGGCACCAGGAAGTCGACGATTTGAATCGAATCGACGTTAATGTCCATGCCATGATAGGATGTTCTTATTGTGTGAGGACGATGTCGAATAGCATCGTGACGGATCGCTAGCATTACTTGCTGGAAATACAAAACCGTGAATTTCCTTACCGTAATCTTCCCTTACCGTAGAAAAAGAACCACCACAAGTGCATATGTGTGCCCTTGACAAATGGCATCGACATACCTACCTCAAGAGCGTAATCCATTCCAGATGGGTAAAGACGGAAGGTGATGTCGCCGGCGTCGTATTCCGGAAATGTGGTCACTTTGGGAACGGTGGTGGTGGTAGTGGTGATGGCGTTTGTGTCTTCGTCGTCAAGGTGTAGATTCGAGCTGCTGCTCCAGCTCTTCCATCATTCTCTTCATGGACTCGTAGGAAAGATGGTC